CCCCAAAACCCCAAAACCCCAAAACCCCTTTTTACGGCTTTTTTATTGAATTCTTCTTGACTATAATAAATGGATAATACCACTCGGTTTGGTGAGTCTAAGCTACCTGTCTTATCTCTTGAGTCCTTAGCAAGTTTTGCATGAATTTGGCATAACTTTTTACATTTAGTACAAACAATGAATACTACAAACATTAGTGACACTCAGTCTTTCAGCGAGGACTCTCGGAATTTGATATCTGGTGGTATTTCAGGAATTTGTTCTATGACAGCCACTCATCCTTTTGAACGAGTTAAGGTAATGAGAATTTTGGCGATCCAAGAAATTGCTGGAAAAAATTTATTCACTTCGATCTACACGATAGCCAAAATGCATGGAATTCGTTCTGTCTTCAGAGGAAATGCAGTCAGTTGTCTCAGAGAATTCCCTGGGGCTGGACTTATGTTTTACTTCTATGAGAAGTTTAAAACGATTTTAACTACAAATAAAAATCCAGATGATGCTGATCTTCAATATCGAGTGCTAAGTGGAGCCATTGCTGGATTTCTTTCAAGTACAATCACTTATTGTCTTGATCCAGTGAAGACTATCATGGCAGGCGACTTTGAAGGCAAGGCTGGAAACATCAGGACCATTTTGAAAAATACATACATAAAGGATGGCTTTAGAGGATTTTATCATGGGTATACAGCCACAATGTGTAGTGTCACTCCTTACATAGGTAACTCCATTTCATTAGAATTTAAGTTAAAGCTTGATATCAATATTTCTAACTTTCTTTATAGCTCTGAACATGGCATGTTTTGATGTACTAAAGTCAAAATTTGGAAGATCTCCTGACTCACTTTACTTCTCATTCGTAAATATGATCTGAGGATCAGTTTCAGGGGTGATATGTTGCTGAATCATCTTCCCGATAGAGTCTACAAGGAGAAGACTTCAAGTCAATGGTCAAGCACCATTATCCAAGCGATATAATGGCCTAAGCCACTGAGTTCAGAAGGTATATAAGAGATATGGCATGGCTGGATTCTACTATGGCTTGGTACCCACTTACTACAAAATTTTTATCAGCGCTGGAGTCATGTTCATGGTCAATGAAAAGATCAAACAAATGTTAAAAACTTAAGGAGAGCATAGTATTGTTGTAAAAATCTTGAATTTCAATTTATTTTCTTTTTTTAGGGGTTTTGGGGTTTTGGGGTTTTGGGGTTTTGGGGTTTTGGGG